AAGGAGAGCAACTTTTGGGAAAGCAAAGCTATGTGAAATTGAATGGAAATGTCAGCTCAACTCATATGATTGTGGAAAAATTCTTCTTCTACCAGTCCTTCATCACCTGACACGAAACAGGATGAATACATCACATTACAAAGTCATAGTTGCTAAAGAAATCGACCACTACTTATTTGTCATTCGTCAGTAGTGTTTAGAGACTTTCAGTAAATCAGTTATGTGAGTTGTGTTCACCCTATTTCGTTTAAGGTGATGAAGAAAAATCACACCACCGAAACGTGATGCCTGCTCATGTGATGTTGGGATAACTCAACTGGCGGTCTTTCATTAGCTTAAACTAAATGTGGTGAATACATCTCGTATGAGAAATCATTTTGTTTGGTTGTCATGCCCTTGGGTTTGGGGCTCAGTTTACCTCGGAGACGAGCAGGAGGTCTAATCAACAATCGGATGCCTCAAATTGAGGATCATTGATGCCCAATAGTAATTTGGGTTGTGATCACTTTTGGGTTGTTGGGTGTGTCGACTCGAGGAGTTGATGGGCTGACGAAGCCTCCTTCGCCATCGAGTCAGGCTCTACTCATGTCGCTTCTGTCTCTTGTCTCCCACCCCCTCCAGTACCGAGTGCACCCGAGGCGCTGAGGGCGATGGACGTCAGTGGTACAGCATTTCATCTGCAATGGCGTCCTCCGGCAGTCACACTCGGCGGAATCTTAAGGTAGGCCGCCATCGGTAGTCCCTTTCTTACGAGATTGTTGCATTCAACTCTCCCCTCCCATTCACCGGTACCCATCTCCCCGTGGCCACGCTCACACTCCGCCGCGAGAGGTACAGGCGCTGGCCGGCCAGGTTGCCATGACACCGTGGCCCAACTTCCGACCCGTTTCATGCTGATTGGCTAAGCTGAGGGGGCCAGACACTGAGACAAATTAGGATGGAAACTGACAAGAATCGTAAATATTTAACCAAATCAAAACAAGCAGTACCACAACATTTGTGGGTTGGCTTGGCAAATCACAGACTTGGTTTCAGAGATAGAAACAGGATAGACACGGCGGGGACCGGAGCTAGTTGGTCTGTTGTGCCAGAGACGTGGTACATGTTACAAAGGGGTCACCATGACACTCAGAGGCTAGTCATCCAGACACAGGGGTAGGGGGGCGAATAACGCCTCGAGTGGTACAGATGGAGTGACAAGAGTCGAGAGAAATAGGTGAACGAGGGAGAGAGCAGACGGATTTTACGGAGCAAGAGAGAGACTGGGATAAGGCTGCATACTAATAAAACAGACTCTGATCAACATTCCCTACACAAGGATGAAAAGGGGGGTGAGAACGATAGTTGGAGT